ACCCCCCTCTGTCTCCCTCTGTCTCCCTCTGGTCAAATTAAAAAATAAATGAATGAATAAATAAAATAAAATAAAATAATTCTTAAAAAACATAAAAAACATAAGGGAACACCTTTTTAGCTTCACTCGAATACCATGCATAGTTGTCGAATGGCCATGATAGGGTCCATACAGTACCAGGTAGAAACACTAGATGTGATTCCCCCCTAGGTGGCTTACAGGGTCTACTCTTCTCCCATGAAGTCTCCCGGACAAACCTCTCCTTGTCAGTGGTGTTTGGGAAGCAGTGTGTGAGGTGCGGTCCGGAGATGAGGCTCTGTGTGGTCTGGCAGGACAAGCACCAAAGCCTTAGAGAGACCAGGATATGAGTCACCATCCACGACTTGGTTTCTTAGTGGCCTTGAGCAAACCATTTAAGCTCTAACTCATCTGTAATGTGGAGTCAGTGGCTCATCCTTTACCAGATGGTAAACTTAAATGAGATAGCATATGCCCGGCTCCCAGGACTTCTCCTGGCACAGCCCGAGTGCATGATAGTGTGAGTTCTCTGCTTCTGCTGCCGTGAAGGCCCGCACCCAGCTGGGTGTGTGGGCTTGGCTGACCCTGGCTCTGTTGTCTCTCCAGATGGTATCTGCGCATGCTGCAATGTTACCGGTGCAGGCAGTGGTTCCACGAGGCCTGCACCCAGTGCCTTAACGAGCCCATGATGTTTGGAGACCGGTAGGTGCTAATTTGGTCCAGCTGGGGCTTGGGGGGGTGGGATGAAGGAACAGGGAGATGGCAGCAGTAACTCCTTCAGATCGCCTACCAGGGCCCAGGCACGTGGTCTATGCTAGTGCATGGCTGTCTAGGGTAGGGGAGGCTCCGGCTACGCTGGGACACATCTCTGGTTTATGGGCTACCTTTGACAGATCCCTGCCTTTCCTAAGCTCCTGTCTCTTTCCATGTCTGAGGAAGGAGGCATGATATAGTCCCTGTCCCACTCCTGCCCAGGGTTGTTGTGGGAGCCACTAGGGAAATGGATGGCCTGACCTGGCTTCTAACCAATGGGATTAAGCTAATGGAAAGTGTTATGGATATCAAACCAGATAGCATGTGTCTTTTCGTTGGTGTCTCGCGTCACTGGTGATTGTGTGTGTGTGTGTGTGTCTGTCTGTCTGTCAGAGAGGAAGAGAGAGCCCAGTCTAGCTCAGCTCACTCCATGCACTCAGCTACACTCTAGGGCAGTGATATCTGGAAGGGAGGTTGATCCCTGTCCTGCCCCATCCTTACCCTCCCTCACCTCCAGAGGCCACCAGTCCCAGGAAGGAGATGGCTGACTATGGGAAGGGAGTGGGCAGTGAGGGGGTGGGCAAGGAGGCTGGACTAGGCTAGGGTATCCGCACTCCTCCCACCATAGGCCCCCCTCTCCACCTAACCACCCTTAGGTTCTACCTGTTCTTCTGCTCCGTGTGTAACCAGGGCCCAGAGTACATCGAGAGGCTGCCCCTGCGATGGTGAGAGTGTGGGATTGGCCCAGGCCCACTCCAGCCCCCTCCTGGCTCCCCACTCTCCCTCTTCTCTCTTTTGCCTGGGATCGGCTCCATTTCCAGCTCTCATCCCAGCCTTTCCCTGGACCCTCTCCTGGACCCAGGAGGCTCTGGCCCTCAAGTCCTGGACCCAGGGGTTTGGAAAAGACTGGGTAGGCTGCTGCCTCACCTGGCCACACCTCCTTGCTCCCCTGCCCAGGGTGGATGTGGTTCACCTGGCCCTCTACAACCTGGGCGTGCAAAGTAAGAAGAAGTACTTTGACTTTGAGGAGATTCTGGCCTTTGTGAACCACCACTGGGAGCTTCTGCAGCTTGGCAAGGTATGAAGGGTGTAATGTCAGGGAGGCCGGGGTTGGAGAGGTTTGCTCAGGCCAGGACTAAGGTCTAGGTCTTAGAGCTCTCACCCTTGGGCTGCGACATTCCTGAGTCCAGACCTCTGAGTCTATTCCCTGGAAGGGGCTTTTTCCAGATTTTGGCAGAGTGGTTGGGGCTTCACTCACTCAGCTGTGGGGAGTTGGGGCCTCAGATCAAGTCTGGCTGGAGCAGGGTTTTCTGCTGAGGTTTGACCTACTCCAGATTTCCTGGCTAGGATGGAAACTGGAGTGGGCCTGCCCCCTGCTGACGGTATTCTGAATAATGAGTGATCAGAGGCCTGGGAGATGCAGAACCATGTAAGACTTTCAGAGTAACAGGTAGAGAGCAATTTGCCAGGCTCGGCACAGATTTGGAGCTGAACCAGCACCAAGCCAGGGTCTCTTTACCCATTTCCACTTTCTGTAATGACATTCTTAGAGTCCCCACCTCAGATAGAGTGAGGTGTCTTCTCTACTGACTGCCCCAAATCCTTCTTTAGTGAGATAAGGACTTTTTTTTTTTAAATTTAAAGTAGAGCCTGTTCCATGGTCTGGTGATTAAGGCATCTGGATTCCACATGGCCAAGTGCACAGTTGGGAGTTCTGACCTGGAAGCTTAAGGAACATGCTGGGGATGTGATGCGTGCCCCAAATCTCAAAAGGAGGAGAAATGGAGAAGAAATTGCTATGTGACCACGCCTCATGGGGGGCTACTTTCTCTTCTCCTCTCTCTCTGGAAGTACACACACCTTCTAGCGCACGTGGCCAAGTAGCCTTTATGCTTTGTAAAAGGGTTGTAAGTAATAACATCTTCATTTATAGTGTTTGATAATTTATAAATGACATATATATTATAAAACCTTAAAAGGCAGATCAAGTTGGTATTTTTTTAATCTCTCTCTTTAAAAAAAAAAAAATCACCATAGGGTACATAGGCTCACCACAGAGAGACAGAGGGAAGGTGGGAAGGTACCCCCAGAGGGGACGGCATCTTTGTAGCCACTTCTCTGCTCCCCTCGGGATCCTGGGCATGCACGCACATGCATTCAGCATGTCTCCCGAGGAGTGGAGCCAGGACTCAAACTGCACTGTTGGCATGTGGGGTCCAACCACTTAACCACCACGCCACAGCTGGCCTGGTATTTTTTTTTTTTTAATAATCTTTTGTTGTTGTTTTTAGTTTTTTGTCATAGGGTGCATAAGCTCACCAGATAGACAGCGAGGGGGGAAAGTGAGAAATCACCCCCTATGAAGGTTGGACACACTGCAGTCCCATCTCCTCCAGTTTCTTCTCAAAATTATGGGCACACCTGCACATTCACCCAGCATGATCCTCAAGCCACTGACTCCGAGACTCCAACTGTGGTCAGCCATGTGGGAGTCTAGCTCCTTAACCATGCCACCTGCTGGCCCTTTAATAACCATTTTTATTTTTTAAAAAATTTATACATATTACTGGTGGAAAAATATTGTTTTGAAATTTTTGCCTTTTTTTTTTTTTTTGGGGAGGTTTTTACTTTAGGGGGCCTTGCTTTGCCCACAGAAAGCGAGAAATCACCCCCAAGGGGGGAGGGCCACGCTACAGTCCTTTCTCCTTCCGTCTGCTCTCAGGATTTTGGGCACATACACACGTGCCTGGCGTGGGTTTGAACCCTGTGGATCTGGGACTCAAACTGCAGTCGACTACATGGAAGTTCAGCGACATAGCCATTATGCTAAATGCTGGTCCCCAAATTTCTGCTTTCTTTTTAGAGAGAGATTTTTGCTATAAGGCATGTGTACTTGCCAGAGAGACAGAGAGACAGAGACAGAAAGCAAGAAATCACCCCCCAGAGGGATGGCCACACCTCAATCCATTTTCCTCCATTCTCTTCTCAGGATTTTGGGCACACATACACATGTGCCTGGCATGGGTTTTAAGCCACCGGGTCCAGTACTTGACTGCATGGGAGTCCCATGACATAACCATTATGCCATCTGCTGGTCTCCAAAATTTCTGCTTTTTTAAAAAGTTTATTTCTAGGGGCCAGCAGGTGGCGTGGTGGTTAAGGTGCTGGACACTCCCACATGGCCGACCAGGGTTCGAGTCCTGAATCTGGTGGCTTGCTTTCTCACTTCCTCTCTCTCTCACTCTCACCCTCTGTCTCTCTCTGGTCAAATTAAAAAATCAATGAATGAATAAATACAAAATAAATAAATAATTATTAAAAAAAAAAAACAAGGTCAGCTTGCTATATGTTTCAAAAAAAAAGTTTATTTCTTCCACCCGTGAGAGAGATACAGCACCCTCAACAAGCTATTGACATCACTGTCCACCCCCAGTTTTAGCCAGCTGGGGATCATGGGCACGCACGTACCTGGCACATTCAGGTAGGTATCCTGGATTGAACTGTGAACCTTCCAGTGGGAGTGCCTTGCCGCCTGGCGTTTTACCAGTGCACCCCTATCTGGCCCATAGTGGAAAATCTTTAAGGTGCCAAAAAATAAATAATGGAGTATAATTTCTTTAAAAATCTAAAAAATATTTCAGGAACCAGCAGATGGCACAGCGGTTACCTCGCTGGACTACCACATGGTCAACCGCAGGTGGCTTGAAAATCATGCTAGCTTTGTGTGGGTGCTTGCCTGTCCAAGATCCCGGGAGGAGAATGGAGGAAAAGGGATTGAAGTATGGCCATCATCCTTCCGGGGCGGGGGGCGATTTCTCACTTTTCTCTCACTGTCTCTGTCTCTCTCTCTCTGGCTGGTGCACATGCCCTAAGGCCACACACACACACAAAAAAAAAAAAAAAAAATCTCAAAAAAAATATATTACAGAAGTTGCAGGTGGTTAAGGTGATGGATTCCTACATGGCTGACCATGGTTTGAGTCCCTGATCCTGAGGGCTTGAAAATCATGGTGAGCACATGTGCAGGCGTGCCCAAAATCCCAAGAGGAGAGGGGACTGTGGCGTGGTCACCCCTAGGGGGATGACCACTCTCACTTTCCCCTTTCTGTCATTCTCTGTCTCTCTGATGAGCATATGTACCCTATGGCAAAAAACTAAAATTAAAAAATGTTTTAATTTCCATTCTAGAAATAAGTAGAAATAATACATATATGCATTTTCCTATGGCCTCTCTTCTATACATAGTATAGATGACACAGTACATATTCTTTTTAAGAGGTTTTTAGCTTAGGGCATGTGCACTCACCAGAGGGAGGGAAAGTGAGAAAACACCCTTTTTTTATGGCCATGCCATAATCCCTTCTTCTCCATTCTCCTGGGATCTTGGGCATGCATGCACATGCACTCAGCTTGAGTTTCAAACCACTGGGTCTGAGACTCAAATCACAGTTGGCCATGTAGGAGTCCAGTGATGCAACCCCTATGCCATCTGCAGGCCCCAATGGTACATATATTTAAACCATTCTTTCAGTTTACATTATATCATAAACTTCTCTATATTACTGAAGAGTTTTCATAAACTTTTTTTTAAGAGAGGTTTTTAACTAGAGGGTCCATGTGCTCACCAGAGAGACAAGAGAGAGACATGGTCATGCCACAATCCCTCCTCCTCCCCACACTCAGGCCGCCAGAACCTGATTTTGGGTACGCATACACACATGCCCGGAGTGAGTTTTAAGCCACCGGGTCTGGGACTCGAACCACGGTTGACTATGTGGGAGTATAGTGACATAATCATTATGCCATCTTCTGGTCCTTTTCATAAACAATTTTTTATTGCCAGAAGCATGTGCACTTGCCAGAGAGAGTGAGAGAAAGAGAGAGAGGGAGAAGCACACACACCCCCCCCATGGGGCATCTTCATGCCTCGATCCCTTCTCTATTCTTCCCATCAGGATTTGAGGCATACACCCACAAGTACCAACATGTTTTTCAAGCTGCTGGGACCAGAACTCAAGCTACAGTGGGCCGTGTGGGCCCCTACTCCCTGTGCAAATCATCTAACCACTCTACCACAGGGCCAACCTTCATAAACATTTGAAGAGTTACGTTGGTTTCTACCTTAGTTTACGTGTTTCTTTCCTGTTGGACATATAGTTTCCTTACCTTTTATCCATCATTAGAAACACACCACAGTGGACATGGTGTACCTGAAGTTTTGTTCATTCATGTCATATTTGTACCATGGAGTAATGTTACTGGGTCAAAGGTACAGGCATTTTTAAAGCTCTTGATGCATTTGGGCCAGGAGTTATTCTCTCCATGTACTGGTGGGGAAAGAGCTCAGAGAGGTGAAAAGACTTGTCTGAGGTCATGGTGGTGTAAGTCAGTGGTCGTCACCTGCAGGACTTAGGAGATGGAGGGGAGGGAGGGGATAGGGGCTAGACTTCTCCGGGCACCGTGGCCTGGGTCTGATTGGCGTGCTGGCCTGCTCCCCTCAGCTCACCAGCACCCCTGTGACGGATCGAGGACCGCATCTCCTCAACGCTCTGAACAGTTACAAAAGCCGGTGCGTGCAGGGAAGGGAGGGCACACCCGCTAGGTGAGACTGCTGTCTACGGCTTCTTCCCCCCTCGTAGCCTGTGCTCCAGCTGTGCTCCTGGCCTGACCATATAAATCTTCCTCAACCCTCTTTTTGTACGCTCAACCTTCCCATCTTTCAAGATCGAGGGAGCACCCCACCTCCTTGATGAAGCCTCCCTGACCACCCAGCAGCCTGACACGTGTACTGGGCTCAGCTCCACTGGGGGCTGTACGCCTGTCTCTAAGAGTGCCTCTTGCTCTGGCCATCTGGGCCAGCCACTGAGGGATCGGCTCCTCAACGCCCAGGTGTGCTACAGCCTGAGAACTTGGCCCCTGCCCTGTGTGTTCCCAGCCAGACCTCAGCACCCACAGCCAGCCACACAACACGTCCAACCCAGGACAGTGCCCAAGCTCAGGACCCGCCATGCAAGGCCTTTTCTGATCAGGCCCTGCCATGTCTTCTGCCACCATCCCTTTGCTTAATTTACTCTGGTGCCCTACACAGCCATCCTGAGCCCCCTTCCCGTTCAGGGCCTTCGCTACACTCTTCCCTCTCTCCGATGCTCAAGTCCCTTTCTTTCACTGTTGTCTTGCTGAGTCAGGCTCTGTCTGGGCACTGAGGCCATGGTGGCGAATAAGACAGGCGCCTGCTTCTGTAAGAACTTTCCAGATGCCTCTAGCAGAGTTGCCAATTCTCTTTTCCATGTGCTCAGGGTTGGGCCGGGCCACAGCCCTGCTCTTTAGTACATGAGGCTTCCTGACCTCCGGGTGGACAGTCCACGGAGGGTAGGCTGTCTAAGTGCCTGTGCAGCCTCTGCTGGGGCAGCCTCACTGGGGCAGCCTCAGGGCTGCTCAGCCATTGCTGAAAGGAGGAGGGAAGAGCCTGGAGGGGCTTTCTGTTTCCTGGGGGGAGAGACCAGAGGACAGAATGAGGGAGATCAGTTTCTTGACCATTGGAGTTCCCCTGTGAGCGAAGGAGGTCTTCCTGAAGAAGGTGGCCTTGGGGCTGGTTGAGGCAAAGAAGAGAGAGAAAGGAGAAGCAAGAACCGCACACAGGTACAGGGAAGGGCTGGAGAGCTGCAGCCGCTTTCTCAGCCACCTCCCGGGACCCCTCATCCCCTCGGCTCTGGGGGATGGATTTTCCAGGCGCCACTATGGATTTTAGCTCTGGGTCAGGGAAGCAGAGAGGCTTGTTAATTCTTGACCCCACTCCCCAGGAGAGTGGGCTGACAGGCCCCAGAGCTTTCTGCACCCCCGCCCACCCCAGGTTCCTCTGAGGCAAGGAGATCAAGAAAAAGAAGTGCATCTTCCGCCTGCGCATCCGCGTCCCGCCCAACCCGCCCGGGAAGCTGCTGCCGGACAGGGGCCTGCTGCCCAGCGAGAACCGCAACGGCGGCGCCGCCTCGGAGCTGCGCAAGAGAGGAAAGAGCAAGCCCGGGTCAGTGCTCGGACCCAGGGCTCGGGCTCACTCTGCTCTGCTCCCGCCCCACCCCCTGGCCGAGTCTGGTGGCATCCAAGCAAGCAAGGGGGACCTACGCCCAGCTAGTGCCAGCCCAGGCACCCCGGGGACAAGTTACTGCCCGGGCGGACCGACCCCTGGCCCCCTACCCTTATTGCCTCGCTCGGGTTGGGGCGCCGGGAGCCTGACCACGGAACTTGGCCTTGTTAGACTAAGCTTAGGCAGAGACCAAGCGACTGTGTGGTGGTCCCGAACTCCCTGGAGGAGCTGAGCCCCTCATCCTGGGCGCAGAGGGGCCGGAGCCTTCGTGTCCTTCGCTCACTATCCCAGATCCCCGACAGGCTCCTCTGCAGATCCGGTCCCCCTGTGCAGGCGCTGTGGTTGCTCAGAGCCGCCCGCCCCACGGCTGGGAGCCTTGACCCTCCTGAGGCTCCTCCTCTTACACCCCTGGGCCCTCGGGCTCTGACTGGCCCCCTCTCCGTTTTCTGTCTCCACAGTTTGTTGCCTCAGGAATTCCAGCAGCAGAAAAGGCGAGTTTATAGAAGAAAAAGATCAAAGTTTTTGCTGGAAGATGCTATTCCCAGTGTTAGTGCCTTGTTTTCTTACTCTCCACTTTCACGCACAGGGTCAGCAGTGTTAGGGATTCCTGAGCGAGAACCCATAGCCCCCAGGTTCCAGGGCTCTCCTATGGCCCTTGAGAAGCCAGTTTCTTGTACAGCTAGACAAGGAAAAGCAGGCACTCCAAGACCACTCTTCCCTCCAGTCCCCCCAGAACCCCAGAGTTGGGGGGTAAGGGCAGATGAGGAAACTGAGGGCAGCCTGGGGCAGTGCCTCTCCTAGAGTCACACAGCAAGGCAGTGGCAGAGCCTGGCCTGGAACCAGGGCATCACAGCACTTGTCAGTGACCTCGCCCTCACCGAGACCCTCCCAAGGGGGAGTCACATCAAGACACCTCACCTCCCCAGCACTTCAGTTTACAAGGCACTTCACACCAATGATTTCCTGGGCTTCCCGACCGCTCTGACAGTGGAGCAGCCCAGGGGTTACGTCCCCACTGTGCAGTTCAGGTGGCCGAAGCCCAGAGAGGTGACCTGGAGACAGGCCGCACTGGAAGCAGGTGGCATGGCTCTGTGGTTAGGGCTTTCTATAAAGAGGAAGTGACTGGCTCCAGGGAGGGGCCAGGCCTCAGCAGCCCTGGCTGGACAGCAGGGAGCCTGTGGCCCTCGCTGGGGCTGGGGAGCAGCGTGGTGGTGGGGGTGCAGATCAGACCTCGCTGACAGTGGCCCTCTCTTCCCCTTGTCCACAGAGTGACTTCACCTCGGCCTGGAGCACCAACCACCACCTGGCCAGCATATTTGACTTCTCGCTGGATGAAATTCAGAGTTTAAAGAGGTATCAGTGAGGGACCCAGTGACAGGTCTGTTCTGGGGACTGGCAGGGGACCTACTGCTGGTGTGTGTGAGGGGCAGTACCCCAGCGCAGGAAGGCTCTGCAAGGAGTGCGAGCCCTACCTCCCCACACTGGCATTGCCCAGACCTGCCTTGCCACAGCCGCCCTCCCTCACCTGGGCCTCCTCTGCTCCTCCTCCTCTCCCCTTGCTGCTGAGGTTCTTCCCACACTCAGAGTCATGGGTGCCTCTTCATCCCTGCTCCTCTGCTGGAATACCCTTTGCCCAGCTCTACCCTATCTGTAGACTCCAGATCCTGCCTCCTCCAGGCAGCCCTCACTAACCCTCACTAGGCTGCGCCAGGCACCTTCCTGTGTATCCCACAGCACCCAGCAGAGGTCCACGGGAGGGGAAGCACTGCATCTTCTTCCATCGCTTTTTTCTTAAAAGTACTAGAGGTCAGCACCAGCAGATGACGTAATGGCTATGTCACTGGGCTCCCATGTAGTTGACCATGGTTCGAGTCCCGGACCCAGTGACTTAAACTCACTCCAGGCGTGGGAACCAGCAGTTAGCGTAATGGCTATGTCGCTGGACTCCCACGTAGTCGACCGCGGTTCGTGTCCCGGACCCGGTGGCTTAAAACTCACGCCGGGCACGTGTGGTCTGTCTGGCGAGCGCATGCGCCTTATAGCAAAAACCTCTCCAAAAAAAAGAAAGAAAGAAAAAAGTGGTCACATAGAGCAATGGTTAAGTGCTGAACATTGGGAAACAGAAACCATGTGGCCAACCATAGTTCAAATCCCAGCACCAAGAGTTCCAAAAAAAAAAAAAAAAAAAAAAAACTCACTCCAGGCGTGTGTGCATACCCAAGATCCTGAGAGGAGAATGAAGAATGAATTACAGCGTGGCCATCCTCCTGGGCGGTGATTTCTCGCTTTCTGTCTCTCTGTCTCTCTCTGTCTTCCTGGCTAGCGCACACACCTTATAGCAAAAACCTCTCCAAAAAAAAAAGTTATAATAAAGTACCAAAGGTCATTCAGGGCTTTCCTGAGGGCACAGAGGAAGGAGAGGGGGCTTTAGCGTCACAGTCCTGACCTCCAGACCCTGATTAGGAGTTCTTGATATGTGGCTTTATCTAAATGTCTTAACCTTTCTGAATGACGTCATCTGTCCTCAAAGTACTGCAAATGAAAACCTGTAACGTGGCCTGTAACGTACACATGTGCCTCAGGTCCTGCTCGTTAGCGATTGCCATAGGGGAAGGCTTTCTGTGCTCCTTGGGCTTTGAAGGCTGGATGTGTAGAACAGGGGCAGGAGGGTGTGGTGGGGAGGGAGTTCAGCAGTGGGAAGACGGGCCTCCTCTGGGATAGGGGATGGAGGCCAGAGGGTAGAGAAATAGCTGCTTGGCAGGACGCCACTGGGTCAGGCCACAGCAGGCCCACCTTCGCCTCCCTCTCAGTGCCAGCTCCAGCCAGACCTTCTTCTCGGACGTGGACTCTACGGATGCCGCCAGCACCTCTGGCTCCGCCTCCACCAGTCTCTCCTACGACTCCAGGTAAGCTTTCTGGAGGACTGGCCTCACGTTTTGCATAGTCATCCCCAGCCCTTCTGCCTCCCTTTTCTGTGACATGCGACTTGTTCTGTGTCTCCAGGTCTCAGGCTGGAGGACCCGTCCTTCTGGCTCTGGGACCCTTTGGTTCTGAGACACTGGGGTTTAGATGGGGCTAAGTAGAGGCAATCAGATTGCTGTGGTTCTGCCCATTGGGATGCTCCTCACCTGCTCCTGGGGGTTGTGTGACCCCCTCTTCCTGCACGATTCCAGTGTTGGGGTGTTTGACCAGAGGTTCTTAGGTTCTCTCATGTGGGGTTCTCGGCCTCTTTGCATGCCACGATTTTGCATGTCTGGTCTTGCAGACAGCAGGGCCCCCTGATCCTGATTCTTGGCCATCTTCTGGAGTCTAAGTGGAAGAGCCATTTATTTAGAAGGCTGATGGGGAAAGATGTCATGCCGCAGGTGTAGGGTCTGGGAGAGGGGCCAGAAAGCCTTGGGGACCTGGCTGAGGGTATGACACATTTGACAACAGCTGGCCCTCAGCGGCAGAGGGAGGGTGGTGCTGCAGAACACAGCGTTCTTTCCCAGCTCTGAGGCTCCTCTCACTGCGTTGAGATTTGAGGCCCTTGCAGAAGGAGAACTAAGACAGTGATGCCTACAGAGTGTCTTAGAGTCCTTCTCTGTCTCCAGATATCCCTGTTTAGTATCTTTCGCTGTTGCTATCTCTCGGTTTTCATTATTTCTTCCTGTTTCATTTGATCTCATTAAGGCTTCAGGTCCTGGTTTCTGCTTCTGAACCTCTTTGAACATGTGCCTCATCTCGTATGTCCATTTCTCTAACACCTGTGTGTACGTGCATGTGTGTCTGTCAGTCTCTCTGTCTGGGCATGGGGGTGCAGGGTCTGTGACCCCATCTGGTGCCGGATGAGGCCTGGTGTGGCACAGGTAGCGTGAGCATGGCCGCTGTGCTGCACGACTCCAGGAGACGCAGTGGCACTCCGCAGCTCCACCAGGCTGCACTAGACACAGGGCATGTGCTGCAAAGCCGGGCACGCCTCCATTTGCATCCTGGCGCTGCCCCTTTCCCCAGCCTGTCACCTCTCCCTGGACCCTCAGTTTCCCTCCTCGCAGGGCTTATGTGAGGACCCAGGGAGATGGTCCAGGCCTAGGGTCTGGCACTGCTTGAAGAGCACTCAGGGTCCAAATTTATGCCGATTGTCTCATCTGGTCCCCATCATCTTCCTCCTCCCCTCCTGACATAGACGGACAGTGGGCAGCCGCAAGAGGAAGCTGGCAGCCAAAGCCTACGTGCCACTGCGGGCAAAGCGGCGGGCAGGCGAGCCCGGAGGGCGCTGCACCTC